TTTTAAAAATGTTTTTGCAAGAGGACCAGTTTAGATGATGATAAAGAAGTTACCACTGCATAACATGAAACGACTAATGCATATAAAGAATTGACCACATCATATAACAAATTAACAACATCATATAATTAATTAACAACCTCATATAAAGATGTTACCACTGCAAAGTATGATTTTAAGAATATATATAATAATTTTACTATATAATATAATGATGTTAGAACTGCACATAATAGATTTTTCACTTCATGTAAAGGTGTCGCACTGAATGAAATTAACTTGGCACTCCACATGCAGCGGGTTTCATACAATGTAATGATTGCTTTATCACACAAATTATGTTTGTACTGTATATATTGAATTTATCACATCACAGAAAGATTTCAGTAATGTATATAATGGAAAAACCACTGCATATAATGATTTTACAACATAATATATCGATATTATCACTTCATTACATTATTTAACCACTACATATAATGACATTGCCACTGAATATAATGATAAAACCACTGCATATAATAAAGTTATTAATGAATATCATGATTTTATCACTGTATATAATGATTTTATCACTGTATATAAAGATAAAACCACTGCATATACATGTAATAAAGTTTTCATTGAATATAATGATTTTACCACTATATATAATGACTTAACCACTTCACATAAAGGTTATACCACCTCATATAAAATGAAAATGACCTTCAGGCAGCTATGGCGTTCCATAGACTTGCTCTAAAATTTATTTTTTGTTCAGTTCAGTCAGTCGGAAAATGTAACAAAAATCCAGCATCTGAACCATGCCTGGTAGTGTGCAATTCTAGATACATCATCAGTGCAAGTTTGGTCACGATAGGGCTTATAGTTACATAAGTATGAGACCCGCTTCAAAATCTTTAACCTGCTCACTCACTCATAAATGTAGGTCATATCCAGCATCTGAAGCAAGTCTAGTAGTGTGCATTCGTAGATGCATCATGAAGCAAGTCTTGTCAGCAAGTGCTGACAGTTGCTCCGCTCCAAAAACTTAAACCTGCTTTTTAAACATTTACCTAGACATTCTTTGGCTAAAATCCAGCATCTGAAACCTGACTGGTGACAAGGAAACACATTAATTCAGGTGACTCTGATTAATATAGGGCATACATATACTTGGAAAAAAAAAATGCTTCAAAAACTCTTACCTGGAACACCGATGTCGACAATATTACAAAAGCTCCCCCAACTTCGAGGAGGTGAGCTAAAAATGTGACGTTAACGTTATACGTTGGCGACAAAAAAGTATCGAAAGGAAGTTAGGATACGATAATGTTTTCTACTTTGTATATAATCGAGAATCTTATTTAATTAAAAAAAAATATGCTACTTTTGGCTAAGCATTTTAACACAGAGTCAGATCAAGAAACCAGGAGCATCTAATTTTAGATATGCAAATTTTACGCAATTTTCAAATTTTGGATATGAAGTGCACAAGCGACACTCATCATATTTCAAGAAATTAGTGTGCAGAGTATATCTAATTACTGAACAAATTTAGGTGAGTGTCCCTCTTGCACTTCATATTCTAAACATCGATTTATAAATGCCACCCTCTTATATTTTCCCATAAGCCTAATGTTAACGGATCTGAGGGTACATGTAATTATGTATCAGCTACGGTGTGAATTCATCTCATATTAACTTTTGGAATATAAATAACAAAAGTTAACATATTTATCTTAAATTCTGAACTAGTTTTAAAAAAATAAATTGAAATTTATTTTTATGAAAAAAAGTGGGCCGCTGAGCGGCCTTATCGAAATTCCCCCTTTGTGAAATCCATGACCTTTGGTAGAGGTGTCTGGCATCAGAGAAGAAATAAGTTGGTTGAACATTGAAAAAATATTACACATTTAAATTTTTACCGGGAAATCTAATTAAAATATGTTTAAATTATTTCTTGAGATATTAGCCCTATATTCAATTGTGAAATTTATGTCCCAAGGATAAGATTTCAGCCCCCGGGTTGGGCTAAGTTAGTCATGTATTAAAAATAAAAGGCAAAGGGATCTTTTTCTTACTTTTCGGTAAAACTTTTTTTAAATGCAATAATTTGCCATAGTTTGACCATATTGCATCAAAATGTTCAGGGACTTAGCAGCCAATATATGATTTTTTATATTTAATCTATGGAAAGACTATTCTCCCAAAAAGTGAGGAGGGGGAGCCCGACCCCCCCCCCCCCGACCCCCCCCCCTCACTTGCACTCGTACTACGGGCCTATTTGAAAAGGCGTTATACCCAAAAATGAAAAGGCGTTATTTTATGTTATTAATAAATATATGAATAATTGAATCAAAGCCATCTTTATTTATACAATATTTGTTTAAAGTATTTTCTATATTCCTGCATATCTCGCATGCAGACAGCTGTTTGCACGCATGTTAAGAGAAGTCAACACTCTACTTGTGAAAATCCAGGATGTAGGCAGATGCAGCTTGGGACTTTGCTAGCCATGTATTAAAATTCATGTCAAATTGGAAAATATTTCCCTCCTCTTGGCTATTTGCATGGGTATAATGAGCAAATAGCCTTCAACCAATTTTGTGAAATCCGTGACCCTTGGTAGAGGTGTCTGGCAATAGAGAATGACTAAGTTGGTTTAACATTGAAAGTATATCACGCATTTAAAAATCTTTTTTTCCTGGAAATCAAATTACAATCTGTTTAAATTATTTTTTTGAGAAATAAGCCGTATATTTAATTGTGAAATCCATGTCCCAAGGGTAAGATTTCAGCCCCCGGGTTGGGCTAAGTTAGTCATGTATTAAAAATAAAAGGCGTAATAACGCCTTTTGCAAAGGCGTAATAAAGCCTTTTGTTAAGGCGTAATAACGCCTTCTGGAAATGCGTAATAACGCCTTTTAGAAATGCGTAATAACACCTTTTTCGCGTTATTACCCCTTTTTCGCGCTATTACGCCTTATTGAAAGGCGTTATAACGCCTTTTAAAATTTTTTTTGCCCATAGATTGTTCCTTATAGGCTTTCGTAATAGATAAATAACCCTTTAATCATTTCATAAGGGGGAGGGGGTTAGAAAATTTTATCAACTGAAATCAGGCTTTAAAACATGACCAGATTTTCAAATACCCATGGAAATGGATAAATAACCCTTATATCTCTCCATTTGTTTAACTTATGTAGAATTCAACATACATTGTATCAGACCAAGAACATTTTTTTTTATTTTTCTCATTTGAAATTGGTAATAAAATACATGTAACTATTTTGGCTGGTTTTAGTCTGTAAACATACCCCCCCCCCCTTTCCCGGTGAAACAACAAAACCTTTGCTATATGAATTTGTGTAATCACAATTCATTATACCTGTGAAAAGGAATTGTTTCACAAGGGGGGGGGGGGGTAAATATCTGTGTTCCTTTGATTTGTATTGTGATAAACACTAGTTTATCAAAATTATAGACTTTACTCTCTTTGCTTTCCCAAATAAGTTATGTTTTATGAAAATTCACATAAATATCTATATGAATATTTAAAAAATCATTCAGATATGTTAAATTTTGAAAACAGCAGAACAATACTAGCGTCCGCAGTTCTTTTTCTTGCGATATTAATTAAAAATATTAAGATATCAAAATAGGCAATATCATCTATAAGCAGTGTTGTAAGGTTGAATTTTGACCCGGTGGCAGTTGGCAGTGAGCAGTTGGCAGTAAGCTGTTGGCTGTCGTATATGGAATTCCATAATATGAATTTTTTTTTTTGAACCGTTGCTACGGGCCTGCGAAGATTGTCCATCGATCGTCCGTCTTTCTGTTAATTTTTTACATTTTCGACTTCTTCTCTAACTCTCTAAAACTTCCGGAACAATTTCAACCAAACTTGCTACAAAGCAGCCTTGGTTAACGGCCCGGGGATTTGAAATTTGTTAAAATAAAGGCCCACGCCCTCATGGAAGGGGAAGTAATTTAAAAAAAAAGAAGGCAAAACTAAGGGGGTGTTTTGAAAATCTTTTTCTCAAGAACCAATGGGTCAGAAAAAAAGAAATTTACGCGAAAGCTTCTTGACACAGTGTAAATTCAAGCTTAAGTTTGTACAAATTGTGGCCTCCGCCGGGGATAGGATGTTGCAACAATAGCATTAGGAGATCAAAGTGTTTCATAGGAATACATACGAAAAAAAAACCCTTTAAAATCTTCTTCTCAAGAAAAGCAGGCTCGTGGTTGCTCATATTAATATAACAAGAATCTTCAGAAAGTGTAGATTCAAGTTTGTTCAAATCTTTGCCCCCAGGGGTAGGTTGGGACTACAAAAGAGGATCAATGTTTTACATGAGACACCCCCCCCCCCCCAAATACCATGCATGTTTTGAAATGTTTAAAAAGTCTTCTCAAAAAAGCAAGGCCATGAGTAGTCATAATATACAAACATTCATTTTGTTCTCTCCAAAAATATAGACCTTGATGGGTTATTGGAGAGGAAAAAAAATTATATAATTTAATGCATACATTAGACATATTGATTTCAGAAGCATTCTAATGCATGGTGTGTAGATTTAAGTTCTGCTTTGTCATAATTCCTTGAGGCTTGGTTTGGAAATAAAGATTTAGAGTGAAAATTACTTATTAAAAAACTGAAGATTGGGCTAAGGTGACTCATGTGAGCGTTGTGCCCCATGGGCCTCTTATTATCTTTAGAAAGTTTCACATGAACATTGTACTGCCTTTTGAGGGTGATTCGATGGAGCTCTTATTCATCAGCTGATTTTTGTAATAAACGTGTCTAGCAAGTCGTGTTAATTTATCTATGTAAAAAAAATCTTAATTACTTAGTCGTTTTAATTCCTTCCGCTGTTTTGTCAGACGTTCAGATATAATCTATTAAAAAATCTCTCCGCTGACAATGAACAAGGATTAGAACAAGTAATGACAAAACTGATAAGAGGAGTAATATAGATTCTCGCTCACAAGCCACAGGTGGGAAAGTCTTTTAAATAACGTTCTCGGGGAGGTAACTGCGTGCGCCTATCGGAAGTGGAAAGATACAGGTGCTCCATTTGTTGTTAGTGGAGCTTCGGGGAGGGATATGTTTTACACGCAAGTGTGATGTAGATTTTTAACACCACAGGTATGTAATTATGGCTTCATAATTCACATTATTTTGACATCGTAAATACTAGTTATAATTATAATGAGCACGAAGTTAAAGAAATAAACGCATAGCTAAAGCTAACGTGTGTAAAGAAAAAAAACTTTTTGATAGTAAATATATCGGTGTCTTGATTTGATACAAAGAGGAGTTTTAGCATGTTTAGGGTGTGCTGTTTTGAGTCATGCCATCAAGGGCTGTGTAATTGATATTTTATGTGAACAGTAAATCTATTACATAATTTTATTTTTAAAATTTACATCATACATTGATGTGTACCTTCTGTGGTACATTGTTCATGTTGTTTACAAACAGTAAAGCATGCACCAGCATAGTGCATTTAGATTGCGTGCTTTTACTTTATAAAATGGAAAATCTGTGACAAGTTTAAATACAAATTTTAATCAAATTCATTTGATTTACATATTATTAAAGTTCATTAATTAGATTAATAATTAACACGATTAATTTATACATGACAAACAAATTTCAGTAATCTGTCAATATTGCCAATAATATTATATTTGTATAATTTCCTTGGCAAATAATTTTTTAATTTAGATGGTAATCTCTTTCCAATTAAGTTTACATGCTAATGTAAAGGGCTGAGTCTATAGAATACAATAATGATTGATCAATATAATTTCCGTTCAATATATTAATATTAAGGACATACGCAACGTACCTTACCTACTGATAATTTTTCAAGATCTTCTTAATTTAAGATTAAAATGCCATCAGATGTTCATAGACAAAAAATCAGCATGTATTACCAGGGGTTTTGAAAAGATATCAATTGATGAAAATTCTTGTATAATTCAAAGAAAAATATACAAAAATTACTAAACATATATTCTAGATGTTTTGTTTATCCAAACTTGTTTTAGAAGAAGTGTACAACAGCATATATAGACATTAAAATGTAGCACACAGTTCCTTCAAGTATTGGAACTCTTCAACTCCATGGAAAAATTCAATAAAGTTCAAACTACGTTGTGTATGTCCTTAAGTAGGAATAAGAACTTATTTAATTGAAGATAAATTAAGGCGATCTTATACATTTACATACATTAAAATTAAAAGTTTAAATAATTTTTACAAAAGGACAGTGATCTTTGAAATTCATAAATTCAAGTAACTTTTGTGTTCTTGTCAGACTTAGTTACAAAAGTATGAATTTTTAAGGTACAATCTCACTGCATGAAATTTATATAGACTGAATAATTTTTATGTCTTTTTATTTCAGATCACAATGAGGAACAAACTTTTCTTGGCCTGTGCCTTAGTGCTAGTTTTTTGTGCTACTTTGGTCCTGTGTTGTGACGAGGGTGTTTGTGTTAGTATCGTTAGCAAGTGTTTATTAATTAAATCATGTGACTGCGATATGACCAGTTTGAAGAACTGTACGTGTTGTAAAGACTGTCAGTTGTGCTTGTCCAAGTTGTACACCGAGTGTTGTTCCTGTGTTGGTTAGTATCATATCTATTTACTTTAATATTTTGAATTACTGTTTCATAAATTCCATTTTCAGCACTAATATGCATGCAAGATATAAAAGGCTATTGGACCTATCAATTTTGCTCATTTTTATGTCTCTTCTGTTTTGTCAACAAAATTGATCTTTACCAAACTTGGAAGTAAACAAGAATGAGAGTTCATTCTTGTTGAATCTGAAGGTCAAAGTCAATGCATCATTCAAGGTGAAGGTCAATTGTCAAGGACAATAGACCTTTAACACTGAAGGATTCATCTTGTATAGTCAACTGGGAATCTATCTGGGTGAATACAAATTGCATGTGAATTCTTATTTTTTGAAGGAAAAATAGATGTGTCTTGTCTGCAGAAGAAAATTGCAGAAAACTGAACTGAGGTGCCTTAAATGATGAATTGTCCATATGCATGATATATAGGATCACACGTGCTTCATGCATTATAGAACAAAGGAATTGTGTTTAGGGGAATTATTACTGTATGTAACCAGATTAAATATCCAGATACATTGTTCTGCACATGAAAGCATTCTTTCAAGGAAAATTGACATATTATTGTCTTTGATCTTATTTATATTACATAACCAGCGTCACACATTCAGTTGCCAGAATTGATATGATTTAAAGCTGTTGCAGTTTATACACCTTTGTAAATATTAAAGTACATGTATAAATGTCATGTACAGGTTAGGTTCCTTAAAGAATGGTAAGAAATAATTGTATGAATAATGTACATGAAAATACTTTCACAATGTCAAGATGTTATTGCTTAGTTTGTGGTACATTGTGGCCTGTGGTCTTTCATGTCACTTGGAATATTTCTGTATGTCATATCTTATACACAGAATATGGCTTAAATGAACTCTCGACCCAGTTTTTAAGCAATGTTCAGGCCTTTCAAAATCTACCAGTACCTGAAATTGTGATTGTACTGGCCAAAATATTCAGTGAAATATTTAATTGAGAAAAGTTCAGTTAAATATTTTAATTTAAAATCACTTCCACAAGGTACATTCTATTTTGTAAAAGTACCAATCTTTTTGAAAGCCCTGAATGTTTGAAAAAATGAAATACTTATATGTATTGCAATTGTTTGTACCTTATATTCTTCATTATTTTGTACAAATTACAGGTTTATGTCCAAAACCCGATCCTGATGATGATTTACAAGATGGCAGCACAATAGAAGATCTAAATGACCCTATACCAGAACTTTTTAATGTGTTAACAGAGCAACCTGACATAGAGAAAAGATGGACTACGTTTTCTCATCCTGTGCACTTTGGTGCCCTGTTGTATAAACCTAATCATGGAATTCTTGATCTCTCCAGAGGTATGGTGTGCCAAATAATGGCAATCTCTCAAAATGTAAGATAAGGGTGATTTATAAACAAAGCTCAAAGAATCTTGGTCCAATATCTTGTCGAAGGTTTGCATACCCAGGTATCCGTGAAATGTGAAGCAGAGGAGTTTCAAGGAGGTGGTTGTGTATTTTAGTGGAGATTTATCGTAGAATCAGTTGCTTTGACAGATTGACAGTGGCTTGATTTTTTAGATGGATGATAGATAAAGTTGGTGATGGTTCAGAGTATTTTAAGAAATTTATTTTTATGCATTTGAACGTGCAATGAATGCAGTGACATTTTTTGGTTAAGTGGAGATAAAAGGCAAAATTAGATGCATATTTGGATAAGTTAACTCAAAAAATAATGATCATGTAATCACTTTTTTAAGTGTTGAAAGTAACATCTGATGTCAGAGTCTTTTGTAATTTCAAGGAGATCTCAGTAATTTATTATCCAATGGATCGTATTTTAAGAAAGTTAATTATAGTGTCATGATTAATAAATCATGGAAAATGAATTAATCCCTTGCAGAAGTTAGCTTTAGAATCACAAGTTGATAAATAGCTGCAACGTTAAGAACTAAAAATATTTATCATCAAAACTAAATTTTTTGACTGACTGGATGTAAATAAGGATATAAACTAATATCGACTTCTCTCAATATTTATCATTACGTGATAAAATTTGAACAGTGACAGCCAATCTTACGTTGGAAATAAACAATTGTCCATATCTCTTTGATTTTCATCTCATTTAGGGTGAATTCACCATGCATCGGACACCCTCGCACTTCAACAAGTTCTAGCGATATCGCTACCGACCGAATATTATCAAAATGGAACTTAATATGTAGTATGTGGTTAAAATATAAATTTTTGACACAACCGCGCCCTATTTATTGAGAAAATATCATTAAAAACCGATTTTTTCGGAATAAGTAAGAATTCACCATGGATCGGACAATATTCACCATGCATCGGACATACGATATTTAAACCAAAAAAATATCATACCTTGATCTCCGTGCTTTAAAATGAGTGATATCGAAACATTTTTATCTTTTATTTAAAAATTAAACTTCTAATTAAATTTGAATGACTTTTTCGATCCACAAATGTGAAGAGATTTTAGTTGCATCACATCGCCTTAGAAAGGCTTTACAGTACTAGTAATATGGCAACTCGCGCCTTTGTCTCGTGGGTTATCATCATCTAGTTTAAAGAAATAAATTGAGTCCACTTCTAGTCGTCATATATCGATAATTTGTATTTTCACTGAATATTTAGAGTTTCTATTTTTTATTTCCGTAAAAAACAGCTGTCATTTGGGTTTTATATGAAAATGGAAGTGATTACCCATGCATCGGAAAGTGTCCGATGCATGGTTAATTTGTGTCCGATGTACCGTGAAATAAATATACTACAAAAAAACAACTGTAAAATATATTATTCAAACATTGAAGTAAAAGTTTTGAAAAATTTCTCTAAAATAATCAATTATTGATAAATTTTACCTAGGTCCGACCCGTTCCGTTGACGTCTATTTAAAAGAACGACAACTCTAAAAATTGCAAAATGGTAAAATTCTGGTTACTCCCCTTTGATGATGCAAAATATGACGTAACTTCAAGGCCATTCTTGTGGTATTTTTATCACAACATGAAAATAAAAATCGGCATCATTAAAAAGTTTAAATCTTCCCCTTTAAGACAGAAACAAGTAAAAACAGGAGGAGACTCGGGTTCAATGAAAGTTTATTGCTTAAAGTTGTCCGAAGCAAGGTATGTGTCCGATGCATGGTGAATTCACCCTACATGTTCGTATACATTTCTCCAGTCTTTTGACACATTTAACTTATGGTTTACTTACAATAAAAAATTCCATATATCACAACTTACACAATACTTGACAGAATAAAATATTAAATGACTGTCATGGACATATCTACCTTGTGTTAAACACCTGTGAAAAGTAATAATTCATTTTATTGAATTAAAGAAAGGAAACTTAGGCTGTTTACACATAATTGGATCATTTCACCTCTTTCAAGCATGAAGTAGTATGAAAGAATTCTTTCCAAATAGTTTACCACATACAAAACTGAATGTCGTTTAGCATATACTTAAAGTGCAAATTCATGGTTCTATTAAATGACTTAAATAGAATATAATTTCATGTTGCATTGTCAAGGAAAGATTTTATACCAGACAAATTATTTAAATTTGTATAATTATAAAAACCCACTGTTATATTGGGAATAGCAGATATCACCCAATGGTAGCACATCCTAAGTTGATTGGTGCAACGCCTTTGTAAATGCAACAATATTGTCCTTTTTGCGACACACTGGAAGTCCTTGCGTCGCCAGATATGCTGCAGTTTATAAGTGACTGGCCCAATGGTCTTTCAGCTATTCATCGTTATGTAGAATGAACTATTATTTTTGGATACTCGTTGTCGCACTCCCAAATACCGTTTCTTTTGAAGGTGTAAATGAGGGGATGGGTAGCGGTTGAAATATCATTTCCTCACCACAGGCAAAAAGTCAAATCTGATATCAGAAATTTAATGGAGTTTTTGTGAAGTTCAGAAATATAGGCAAATTTTATATTTTGATTTCTTTTTTTGTATTTATATTGTCAATTGAATGTGTAGGTTTCCAGGCTATTGTATTTTATCCTCATTAGTTCAAAGACAGTGTAGAAAATTATAGTCCAAGTTCTCAGATATCATGAAAAACAAACACTGGTGTGATTTTTTGAATTCCCTTTGTCATAATTATGTAAACAGTGTATAAAGATTTAATTAAGGCTTTGAAATATGTTGACAGTAGGTGCACTTTTAAATGCACTTATAGATTAATAATGCATTTATGTAATTCTTTAATTGTAAGCATACTTGTGGGCACAAAGTAGGAAATGGAAAAACACAAAAGTTAAAACCGAAAAAAAAAATTGAGACTTTTGACAGATCTGAGTGACAAAAAGACAGCTGTGGTTTTGGGGTTTGGAAGCGAGCACAATGAATGCGGGCTTTTAACTAATTTCTTATCTCTAATACTTATCGCAAGGCACAGTGTCGTGATCTGCACAATTTCAAACAATATCAGTAGCACTGAAAGGCATGTCAAACTCGGAAAACGATATCTTAGGAGAGACAAATTATGGAGACATTCTAGATGAGTTAAAAGCTACCAGTGACAAACAAATTATTTAAAGGTCATCACAGTTCTTTTAATGTTTTCCCACTCACCCATTAATTATAAGGAACTACTTTATAACACCTATGAAAGCCATAGTGCTCCTTGAAGCTGCTAGGGGGGGGGGGGGAATAAATGGAGATTTTTTAAAACATTGGGTGTATTTTATTATTCAGTTTAGTGTTGCATGAATAGTACAAATATCTGACAGTTGACTGGCACTTTTTCCATGGTTTTTAAATTAGAACAAATGGTCTATGTTGGAGTTGCCGTATGTTTGAATATTTTTCGGCATAAACAAAAATAAATGAAAGTTTTACATGTTTTAGGCAAACCAAAATAACAATAAAAATATCTACTGGTTATTCATGCATTCCTTACAAATGTGATAAATTTTGGAACCAATGAGTCAGAATGCAGAAGAGATATATATACAAGCATTTTTCAAAAGTGTGATTCAACTAAAGTTTATCCTTTTTTTTTATTGAAACTATATGTACCTGTCAAATTAAACCACACGGCACGATAAATTACAAGGTAGAGCATGTTGTCGTGGTCCACAAAGGTTAAGGAGTGACACTTCCTTTACAAATCCAACACTGCTCAATGTACATCTCAATCTGATCCCCCTGTCAAAGCAGAAGACCAGGAAACATTCAGTTGTGGTGATAGAACTCATAAAAAATTGTTCCAATTAATACACACTTTAGGACGACTGTTGCTGGTTGGACATATTTACCCACTCCTCCCACAAAAAAGATGAAAAGTTCCCCCCCCCCCCCCCCCCCAAATTATCAGTATATTGTCATCAAGGGCAGTCAGGAATTTTCAAAATGGAAAGGGGTACAATTACTTTTTTGCCCACCAACTTCATGCCAATTATTTTCCCAAAGGATTTATATAATTTTCCATCATATCGCACTTTGGAGATGGCCTTTTTTCCAAGTCAAGAATTTTTTTGAGCATATCAGTTTTTTTTTTATACTTGTAGAATGTTGTTTCCTCAATTTGATAACCATGTGATGTTGATTTGACTTATAAATTAAATTTATTGTTATTATTATTTTTGGAAGGGGGTACAGTACATATAGAATTGTCACATATATATATAATTTTCTTCATTTTACTCATATTATGTCATTAACAAAGACCTGTTTTAACTCTAGATAAATACAAAAGTACCTCCATATGGTTCAGTCAGCCTAAAATAGAGAAACATTTTTATCAAGTTGTCTTTGTGGTTAAAGATAAATATGATACAATGTAAAAAGTCTGAATGAATTGTTCCGTCCACTAAGGGATTGACAGATGAATCATACATAGCTAATTTGTTCCCAGATAAACAAAATATATGAAGGCTGTAGTTTGGTGGGTCCTAGATATTTATCATGGGTTTGTGGTGTCTTTCTTGTGTAGGGAGACACGGTTTGTTATTTTTTCATTACTTTTATTGTCAGTTTTATTTGTCCCTCTTGATTTCTCAGTCTGACGTTCATTTGATAGGGCTCACTTGTTATGCTTGAATTTACATATATTTCATTATCAATTAATCATAGAGAAGAAAAATCTGTCTGCTAATTTTAATAGCATCCATTTATGACCATTCACTAAAATTTCTCTCTTTTTTTTCTTACCATTTTTCAAACTCTACTGACAATTTCACAAAAATTTAAAAAGTTTCAACAGTTATTTAAAAAAAAACATTAATTAATTGGTATTAAAGCATTTATGTGTATTCTTGAAAATGTCAGATAGCTAAATCATAAAACTTTCAATATCTGATGAATAT